CTTATGATGGAAAGACTTCATGGTTTTCCTATGAGGATGCCATAGACGATTGGTGTGATATCACCGAGCTGGAGGATGAGAAGAGAGGACCAGCATTGAGAAACAGATTAGAAGGAGAAGCAGCTGTATACAAGCGTGTTTTAGACAGAGATGCATTGAAGGCAAATGATCCACCAGGAGCCGGCGTAGAATATTTCAAACGAGTACTACGACCGTATTTCGTGAAAGGATCAACCAATGTATTCCTGTATAGGTTCATGCAATTCGTGCGCTTCAATCGAGGATCAGCTGACATGATGAAATGGATGACAAGATTCCAGATTTTACTCCAAAGGCTTATGAGCAGTTGGATGGACATGTTAGAACCAGTCACTCAAGCACATCCACAAGTCCTAGCTCAGATGCAGGCAGATGCAGCATTGACTGGAGTAGCACCAACGGCAGAAAGGATTCAGGAAATCATGCAGACCATCAATGGCAATATGAGGACTTTTCATCAGAACGAATTTCCTCTAGGAGAAAATCTGATTGCCTTACTCATGCTGTCACTTGCAGATTTGTCTCAGGACCAGCGAAACACTTTGACTTCATTGATGACTCATCGTGGCAGGGTCCTGCAGCAATACACTACAACAGAGTTGAGGACAGTATTCATCGAGATGTTCTGCACAACAAAGACTTCAGTAGACAATCCTTTGATGCAGCCAACAGGTGCTGGAGGTAGAAGATCATTTCTCGTACTAGACGAAGGAGAACTCGATGGTACATTTGGCTATTGGGCCGAAGATGAAGAAGATGGAACAGAAGGATTTTTAGCTGCCCTGGACGATGTCTTTTGGGTATATGATGATCAAAACTTCTCATGGTTCCAAAGGAGATTCCAAGGAAGAAGAGCCAGAAAAGGCAAAGGAAAAGGAAGAAGAAAAGGAAAAGGTAAAGGAAGATCAGGCCGCAGATTCTTCAGACCTCGTGGAAAAGGAAAAGGAAAGAGACGAGGTAAAGGCCATTTTGCTGATGAGCAACAGACAACATATCCAGAAGAGTACTTTGAAGAGAATCCTTATGAGGACACTTGGGAGTCAAACCAAGGAGCATATGATGCTATTCTTGCCGAAGATATGAATGACTATCTTCAAGGAGAATATGATGATGCCAATGACTTTTGGCAACAGCTTGAAGAAGCATGGTTTTCCCACAAGGGGAAAGGAAAAGGCAAGAGAAAAGGCAAGAAAGGAAAAGGAAAAGATAAAGGAGATGGCAAACAAGATGCAAACTATGCAAATCAACAACAGCCACGTTCTTTACCTGCACCTTCAAGATCTTCACAAGCATCAGGAGGTCAACAAGGTTTCTTTGCACATTGTGTGACAGCAGCAGCTGAAGTCCATGACAGTGAGGTGGACTTGCTGTCAGGCATGATGACCTCATGTCAAGATGAAGCTGACTGCGCGGTCAACAATGGTGAGACTATCTTCAATGGCATGGGTGCCCCTGTGAGGTACTCTTTGTCAAGGGAGATGCTCACAAAGACTCCTGATGGCTTTGCGCTTATGAACGCTGAGGAAGAAGTGAAGGAGATGCAGGCCATTTCATTTTTGACTGAGAATCGCTTCCCGCCGACTATTGCAATCCTGGACATTGGATGCACTAGAGCTATGGGATCAAGGCGAGCAGTCGACCATTTTTGCAACTATGTCGACAATCTCCCAGATTGTGGATTATGGTACTCTTTTGAGTCTACCAAGAGCAAGTTTTACTTTGCCAATTCCCAGAAGGCTACTTGCTCTCAGAAACTGGTGATTTACATGTATGATTGTGCACGGACGATCCACCATACAGAGTTCGACATAGTGGAAGAAGGAGAAGTCCCTTTGCTTATGAGCTTACCACAGATGAGGAACTTAGGCTTTGAACTCAGGCTGACACCTCAACATGCTTATCTGACATCGGTGCTTCTTGGTATCAAATATTTGGAGTTGAAGGTTGCAGCCAGTACTCATCTTGTCTTGGACTTCCAAGATATTGCATGGTATCTGTCTGACGTGAACTTGCAGACTCGGCGCGAGAAGAGTTTTTACTCTCACTTCACTCACTATGAATATGGTCATATTTCTGTTGATCACAATAGTGATGAAGATGTAGCTGAACATGCATATCCTGTGGTTGACTACTGGGAAGTAGATGTTCACAAGAGAGAACTGATACGTCACCACAAGGATTATAGAAAGATTCTTTTTCCAGCAACTAAGTCCTGTCCTGTAGACACTGACTTACTGGAAGACTTGCGACTGACAATCATCAAGAAGAAGAAAGGAGGAGAAGAAATCAAGAAGCAAGATGATTGGCGCAAGGCAAAATGGAAGGACCTACAAATTGGCTATGAATGGCGTGGTAGAACAATTTTTAAGTTCAAACCAGATGCCAAAATTCCAGATCTAAAGATCAGGAAGGCTGGCATTGAGCACCGTGGCATTGGTGATCCCGATGCAGTGGTGCGCTCCTCCTCAGAGAAGGTTCCCACTGCAAAGGACAGGGAACCAGGCTTCTCGTCAGAGAAGGAAGGTGCACCATCAAGTGCCGCGGAAAAGGTGCACCATCAAGTGCCGCGGAAAAGCCCGCGCCGCCAAAGTTTCGGTATACTTCCAAGGGTTTTGATCCATTTTGGAAGGGACACAAGTCGAAACCATCTGAGCCTCAGAATGATTTAAAGGGTGATGATCTTGAGGAGTATGCTCCCTCAGAACCACCTGAGAGGCCAGAAGGGGAACTTGTAGAAATTCCTAAAGCATCAAAAGGACCATCAAGTGATAAACATGAACCACTTGAACCAGGTGATGGCGCTCTTGAGCCTAGGCGGATTTCAATCCCATTACCTGGTAGTGAAGTTGTTGCAATGACACCGGCATATAGGAAGATGTTACAGAGACTGGAGGACAAGGTAGAGCTTTATAAGCTTCATGTGAAGCACTACCATATGAGTCCTACTCAGTTTCGTAGACGTGTTTCTATGTTGAAGCTTCCTGACTCTGTTTTAGAGAAGTATGAATCAGTTGTCAGGAACTGCCGTGTTTGTAACACTTCAGTGGCACCTCCGCCACGAGCCAGAGT